GCTGCGGACAGGTTCGGCTTCTCGCAGGGCGAGGTGATCAAGGACTACTACAAGCGGATCGAGCCGCCGGACGCGGTGGCCGACCGACACGCACACGCACACACAGCCACGCGCGCGCGCGCGCGCGCGCACACACACACACGCCGTCACCACCACCACCGCGATCCCTCCCGCTCTCCCCTCGCAACGGCCCTTCACACCGCCGCGTGTGAGCAGGTGCTGCTGCACCGTGTCGCGCCCTTCCCAGTGCTCTCCAAGGAGGAGCAGCCCGCCCGGTACGCGTAGCTTGAGGAGGAACTGTGTGCTCTGCACTTGGAGCACTGCGATGCGTCTTTTATTTTCGGGCCTGGCTATTGTCGACCCCTTTTAGGCGGCGGCGCCGCCCCCTCCAAATATTCGCTCTTCGGGTCGGAGTGTAGGGCGTAGCGGAGTGTGGGCCCCGAGTTTGAAAAGGGCGACGGACACGCTTGCGTCCTAGCCTACAACAACGCCTCCCCGGCGCAGAGGGGCCCGCGGAGGGATGCTCAACCCACGCCGCTTGCGGCGGTCCTCTTCAAAGCTCTGCAGAGCTGCGTGAGTTGTCGCGGATTGTGTCGCACACATCCCTCTCGCCGTGTACACAAGGCGTCCTGAGATGCTCCCTGCGCTGCGTGCCGCCTACGCCGCGCACATCACGGACCTAGACGCGTCCTCGGCGGAGGATGCCAAGCCGGTGCCGATCTCGCACACGCTGCTCGGCGTCGCCGGCGGCCTACGCTCCAACATAGCACAAGCAACGTGGACCGAGGGGGACTTGCACTCCTCCGTGGTCCTGCTCTCGCGTCTGCCGCCGGGCGACGCCCTCTCCCGCCTCACGCTCCTCTCCTTCCTCGCGGTGCCTCAGTGGCGCGAGTTTGCCGCCCACTGCGCACGCAACTTGCAGGCGCAGCTGGGCCCCCTCTCAGACCGGCGCAAGGAGCTCCTCCTGGCGGCGTGGCTCTCGTTCGCCCTCGCCGTGCTGGCGGAGCCATCGCTGCGGGCCGCCGCCGACCTTCCCTTCCGGCACCTCGCAGAGGATGGCGAGGCCGTGCGCCGCACTCTCCCGTACGAGGCTTCGCAGACCGTCGCTCCGCTCGCGAGGCGACTCGTCTCTTCGATCAGCGCGCACGGGCCGCCCCGCTCCGGGGCGGCCTCGCCGCTGCCTCGCTCGGGAAGCGCCTCCCCCGCTGCCCGGGCGAGGCGGACAACAGAGCCGTTCTCCCTATCCGGCCGCCCGCCGCCGCCGCCAAATGACAGCAGCCGCCTCCAAGCTCGGATGCCTGCCGTAACTGCCCTCGAAACCGAGGAGCTTGCCATGGGGCGGGGCCTCCCACCCCTTCCCCCCGAAC